CACCAACAGAGAATGCCAGAGAGAGAAAGCCTACAAAGAAAGACAACTGCCTCTGTCCCTGCTAATAATTAGTCCCAGGATGGAAGTCTTGGGACAGAAAGGTGTGTCAACAATGATTATTTGTTTCTTTGAAAGATGGGCTCAAATACAGAATAGTGAAGAACTAATGGTAAGCTGTCCTTTAACAAAATATCCCCACTGGCATGGCTTCAGGAACTGTTTAGTTCTCACCTTTACTGAGTATCACCTGTTTAATATTGATGACAGGCCTTACTATTCTCAAGATGAATCAATTCTCAGTCTTATAATTCCAAGAAAAGGATATGGTGACATATTTCACAGCCAGGAAAGTGTTTGTGGATTCAACATCCTATAACTGACTAATGTTAGGTTTTGTACTTCATGCATTTTTCAATAAGATGAGTCAAACTTTGCTTCTCTGTTAAATTACGCTAGTTTTATTTATGGCATCTTTACTCTAAAACAGTAAGTGAAGAGTAACCACAAAGTAGAGAGACTTTCCATGTTAGGCTTGTAAAGAGAGAGATTCATCCCTCTAGAATTTTAGTTTTATTATTCATTTCATGGTATATGCTCTCTGTATATTCACAGTATGTCCCTATTTTAGGATATGAAATAGTTCTTAACCTGTTGCTTTTGGGGTTGTCAGCCCAGACATTATGACAACTTTTAATGGTTGACTTTAAAAACAAATTTTTACCCGAGTTTTCTATTTTGCCATTCTAAGCTTCATAATTATCTCCAGCAGCTCAAAACACACATTCCATACCAAACTGAGTTTTCAAAGGAAAAACAAGATTATTTTCAGATAAATAGAATCCATCTGAATGACAAGGCTACATAAAAGCACTTCTCAAAGTGGAAAATGAATCAAAACTAATCTGGTTTCAAATACCAATTGTGAGAGAAATTACATACTGAAACTGACATAAAGCCATTTCTGAGGGGTCAAATGTGAAAAGGGGAAATGGAGATCGCAATAAACAGGGCAAACATAAAGATATAAGCTGCTCTGAATTCATAACATGATGACCTCGCATGATTTATTCAAGACTTAGAAAGAGGTCTGAGTCCTAGCCAGTTTGGTTCAGTAGACTGAACATTGGCCTGTGGATCGAAGGGTCCCAGGTTTAATTCTGGTCAAGGGCACGTACCTAGGTGGGATTGCAGGCTGCTCTCCAGCCGGGCCCTGATCAGGCCGTGTAAGGAGGCAACCAATTGACATGTTTCTCTCACATCAATAGTTCTCTCTGTCTTTCCCTCTCTTTTCCACTCTCTCTAAAAATAAATGGAAAAATATCCTTGGGTAAGGACTAAAAAAAAAGAAAGCAAGAAAGTAAAGAAAGAAAGAGGTCTGAGATCCTCACCATCCCTGGAACCTAATTTTAAACTGAAACAAGTAAAATTCTGGATGTGTTGCTAAGAAGGAAACAGGCTGCTGTTCTTAATTTAACAGGACCATGTTCCTGAATCTGGAATACTTCCAAGTGTTCAGATATGTCCTATGAGTCATCACTAGAGATCCCAGGATACATCAATAGAAAAATAGTATCCACTATAAGACACATGATAGAAGAGAAAAGGAGTAAAATTGCAGTCTGAGCAAGAGATTCACAGTGCCATTAATAAATATTATTTTTTTTTTATTCATTTCAGAGAGGAAGGGAGGGGGAGAGATAGAAACATCAATGATTGATGAGAGAGAATCTAGAGGGATGAGTTTCTCTTTACGTTCCTCTTGCATGGCTCCAAACTTGGGATCAAGCCCACAACCCAGCCTGTGCCCTGACCAAGAATCAAACCGTGACCTCCTGGTTCATAGGTTAATGCTCAACCACTGAAACACGCCGCCAGGCAATTTTAGACGTTGATGTAGATTATTCACAATTACATGCAAAAAGGAAATTAAAATCTGAGGATCTGGATAAAGAGGCAGTCTGAGAGGCAGGTCACTTTAGGGAAAGGTTCTTCATTGCTGCCTGGATTGAAAGATGCTGAGAAAGCCTTGTTTGTTGTGCAAGCTGGCAATCCCCAAGTCGCCACCTACAGAGTGTCTGAGTGTCTTTAGTTGGTGGCACACACCATAGTCCTGACTTTTCAACTGAGTGGGGTTGATTTTGTTTGGGTGAGAACATTTGAATCTCCAAGAATGTGTAAAAACAAGTGCGATTTTGAATAAGTAGGCTTTATGGCATGTAGTAAAACATTTTGAAATCATTACATAATTTTGTGTGTGATTTATTTAGAATGTTTAAAATGTTTAAAAGAATATTAATCTCTGCATTTATCAGCCAATTTACTAGATTACAGAGGTTTCCAGGAAGATTATATTAGCCAGAATCACAAATTTGTCTTATTAAGGTCTTGCATTTAGAGAATGAAATTTATTAGTTTTATAATTATAGCTTGATCTAAAGAAGCTTGATTGATCAAATTTGAATGCTATTAAATTTATGGAATAATTAAATAAAAATAACTTATTTTTTAAAGTTAGTACATTTATAATTTGAATAAGATCTGTATGTTGATTAAAAACAGGCTTAAAGAGAAAATATAGCTTAAGATAAAATAATAAAAATAAAGCTTACAACTAAGGTTAAGATTTATAACTTTGAGCCCTACATATTAATAAAGCTAAGGGAAGTGAAATATTCCTTTTTATAATCAAAATCTCTCCTTGGCAATCAAAGTCTACTGGCACTAAGAGTAAGAATAACAGCCATTATGTGCTGAACACACATCCCATTGAGGGCCTGTATTGAGTACACTAAGAAGGAGAGATGGGTTCTATCACACTAAGCCCAGAGAACTGGGTGGGAAACTAATACATCATACAGAAAGCCAGAATGTAGGAAATTATATAGATACATGGACTTCGGGACACACCATCTTATATTTACAAACTGGGGGCCCGGTGCACAGATTCATGCATCAGTGGGGTCCCTCGGCCTGGCCTGCACCCTCTTGCAATCCGGGAACCCTCGGGGGATGCGGAAAGCTGGTTTTGGTCTGATCCCTGCAGGCCAGGCCGAGGGACCCCACAGGTGCATGATCTGTGAACTGGGCCTCTAGTACTTTATAATAAGAGGGTAATATGCAAATTGACCCTAACGACGGAACAACCGGTTGCTGTGATGTGCACTGACCACCAGGGGGGCAGACACTCAACACAGGAGCTTCCCCCCTGGTGGCCAGTGCATGTCATAGCTACTGGATGGTCAGCCAGTTGCTTAGGCTTTTATATATAGACTAGAGGCCCAATGCACAAAATTCATGCAAGGATCTCTGTGGGCCAAGGCAGCAGCAGCCCCAGCTGCCGCCTTGGCCCCCACAGCAACAGCCCTGGCTGCCGCTTTGGCCCCGGCAGCAGCAGCCCTGGATGCTGCCTCGGCCCTTGCAGCCCTGGCTTCGTCCAGAAGGTCATCCGGGATGTCATCCGGAAGGTCGCACCATCTGGTCTAATTAGCATATTACCCTTTTATTATTATAGATGATGGTACAGTGATGTTTCAGGTGGCTTAGAGTATAGAAAAGCAGTTTTCCAGAAGAGAAAATTTTTATGGCGTGAAGAAGTACCTCTCCCTTCATCACAGCATGAGTATATTTGATAACTTTCTTATTTAAATTTCCTAATTATGACAGAAACCCTAGTTCCTGAGGTACATTAAGTATTAAGTATATTCTGACTTGACCATTTCTCCATTCAAAAGCCTTATTCAACACCATATATAAGTTCACTTGTTTTCAAAGATTCATCCCTGAGTAGATCATTTGTCTTTATAATGGATATACAATGAGGCCAAATGTTGGAAAACACATTTCAAACTCTACTCAAATGCAAATCATACAACAAATTACTTTTTAGGTAATTGTTTAGAATTAACATTCAGTACTTACAAAACTCTTAATCCATTGGTTAATGTTTCTGTGATTAGATACAAGTGGATAATAGAAGATTCTATACTGATCACTTTCCTTGATTATCAATTGAGAAGGAAATGTAAGAATAAACCCTGAAAGTATTTTTAAAAATCTTTAATATTAAAGGTTATTTTAAATTGTGCATTTTCGTTTGGTGATTTTTTAAATTAATTTCTAGGAAGAATTTCCTCCAGTTAAAATATAGGCTTTTTCATATACTCAATATTTATGATTTTCAAATGAGTGCTTCCCCAGTTTTTATATTTACTCCACTCTAACTTGTATTTTAACAGCAATTTAAAAGCCAAGATTATTAAGTCTGTTTTAAAAATAAATTTAGACATTATGAGAGAAAGTCAATTGAGTTAAATAAAATTTGAAATTGCTTTAAAAGACATACAAATAATCTTAGAAACATACAAACTAGTTTTAAATGTCAAGTAATCTAATGACATATAGTATACCAAGAAATATACTAAAATAATCAAGGGTAAAAGAAGGCAAGAGGTGGAAGATAATGAAAGAGGATTTAGAATGGAATGGAAAACACATACAGTGTATCTGTTCAGAATGGTTTGATGCTAAGGATTCAATAATAATACAGTGATAACATGTGTTCTTACATATCCCATGTGCTAAGACAATGTCCTTACATTCCAGATTCTTGAGCACAATCTCCTAAAATTAGCATAAAGTATCCAAGTCTTTAGTCTTATAAATTCGAGCAGAGAAAATAAGATAAATAAGCCCTCCTACTGCCATTAAAAACAACAACAAAAACAAACAAGCTAAATATCAACTGCCTCAAATCTCTTTCTGGGATAGAGCAAGAGACATACCTCTAAGTAGACACCAAAGAAAGAAAACTTAATTTTGGTTACTATAATATCAGTTGTTAGTAGTTTTAACATGAGAAACTGCTTTAAATGAATTTTATTCACCATCCAAAGATGTGTTAATATCATTTTTCTAGAGCTAACTCTTAATATCACATAATAGCTTTGTGATTAAAAATAACTGTGTGATAAAAATTTAAATACTTATTAAAAACAACTTACTTTCTTCTTTCTTGCTCATAATGGCAGGCAGGGTATAAATCTAAAAAACAAGGGGAGTCCATCAGTTACTTGCAGTGAATGACGCAGTACAGACGATTACCAGGGTGATACTGGTGCAGTGCTCCACAGAGGAGTGTCTTGATTCAAGATCCTACAACTACTGCATCCACAGCGCCACCTCCCCATCCTGTAACCAACCTTGCTTAACATTCCTTTCATCCCTGGCTGTCCTGCCCTGGGTAGAGTTCTACCTCCTTCCATCTGATTTACGAGTGTCATTCTATTCCCTAACATAATGCATAACAGCCCTTCTTGATAAAATATCTCATGATGGGTTTTACCTGCTTGCTCCTTACTCAAATGATCTGCTTAGTGTGTTCTTTTCAGCACGTACAATCCTAACGTGTACTTGCTGAGCTACCACGCTGTCTTCTACGTCTGCTCTCGGTCAGATCTTGCCTCTCAGTTAAGTGGTGAAAAATCTAATCGTTTTGTTTAATTTCATTCTACCACTGACTGCTATTTTTGTAAATTACAGTAAAATTTAAATATCATAAACATAATAAAGAGTAGATATGAAATCAAAATTTCTCGTTAAGTTCAACAAATATAAAATGACCTCTTCAAATTAGTACAAAATTTTCTGGATGCTTAATCATGAGTTCTGCGCTCATCTCATCATGCACAGAAACTATGTGAGGGATGGTCTCACGCTCTGGAGACCGCACTTGGTGCAGCTCTGCTGTGACACAGGTACTTTGACAAGGTTGCTCACAGGTTCTCTGCCACCTATAGGACAGTTCTCAAGGGACAGAATGTGGCCTCATAGTTGCTCTGTGTGCTCATCCCCTAACCATCTAAAGCCATGTTCTTTATAAAGAAAACAGACAGTGATTAATAATTTATTTATTTTTAGATAAAACGCCCTAGTAACTGTAAGTTATCATGCCAACATCAAAATAACTATTAGATAAATAAAGATATGGATGAGAAGAAAATGTCAACTCACAGGCAGTTTTACCAAATAAGACAGCAAGGATTAGTTCTTACCCTGCATCTTGTTTATCATGCTGATTACGAAGACCGGACAAAGACCGGGCATTCAATAATTATTAACTGCATAGAATAATTTAATCAGTGAAGCCGAATTAATTACTAGAAGTAATTTTTAATAAATAATTTTAGGGTGTTAGTCCTGAAAGTCCTCCTGAGAAACAAATTACAAAGTTGGTGCTGTGTGTCAGTGAGCGAGACAACATCAGGAAAATAGTAAGTTTCTACTCCTCAGACTTGATATTTTAATATTTTCATATATTTACAGATATATAAAAATTTCAGATGTATTTTTTCCCCAGACATACTTTGTAATTATTAGAACAACAAAACCTAAATAAAATGTGTTATATTCTTACTGGTTCTTTCCCATCCATGGCTTCGAGCCAGAGTTTCCGGTTAGCTTCTGAAAAGGCCTGCAATGTGATGATCCCATGCCTAATAAAAACAAATATTTTATATTTTCAATTTATTCCAGCTATGTCTTTACGCATTTGCGATTTTTAAAATTCTTACTTAGGTATAAAAGTAAAATTTGAGGAAAAATCAGGAAAGAGAAAAGAGAAATAGAAAAGAGAGAAAAGAAATAGAAAAGACAAGGAACAAAAGGAAAAAATTGACCTACACATATCTTTCTGAAAAATCACTGTATACAACCACACCCCCACACAGATATTTTTCATTCTAATGATCACAGGTAGTAAAATAATTTAGTGTTCCAAGTACAATGCTGTCTGAAAGAGGAAGTTCCAAATTATTTCCCCTGAAATGACTTAAAAGGATGATAACTACATTCACCCAAGTTCAAAACCACCTAAACATTCTACAAGATGAGGAAAACTGAGATTATGACCCCAATGTGGTAAAATCTAGTCACTAAAAATAAATACAATGAGTATATAGCAATGTGGAAAGCCTCAGACCATAACTAGTTAATTATTAAGAAGATCCTAAAACCAAAGGGTTTATCTGCACCATGATCACAATATTAAAATTACTTCATTTAAAAATAATTATCTCCCAAGAACTCATTCTGAAATAAGATGTACTTCAAGAGAGACTGAGTGAGCGAAGGGAGGGAGGAATTTGATATAAGAGAGAAAAAGGTATGAAATCCAAAAACGAGGGGAATTAACCTAGTTAACAGGAAATTTCACTTAAATATTGTATGTTTAAAAACCTGGAATGAATTAAAACTATGATAAATGCATACATCTCTTCTGTAAACAGGAAATAGGTCATTAGACAGGAAAAGAAAAAACATATATAAAAATCGAGGTAATTTTATCTTTGAACCAGTGTAACAACATCAAGAATAAAATAACAATGATCAGTATTTGCTGGCTGTTTAGTATGTGCCAGGCATTGTGTTGTTTCCTTTGAGGTGGGTAATTATTATTTTTATTTTACATGAGACCACTAAGGCATAGTTTAACCATGTGCCCCAAAGTTATATAACTAGAAAAGGCTTAAATAAATAAATAAAAGAGAGAGAGAGAGAAATCACTAACATGTTGGTGTTTGTCTACATAGAAAATCAAGAAATTCCTACCGCACAACTATTAAAACCAGTAAGTTCAACGACGACACTGGTTATCAGTCCATATATAAACAAAAATAATAGCCTTTCTAGACAATAATCTCAACCATTTTGAAAAAAGAGTTTCACTAATGAAAATAATTCTATCCAAAACTGTAATTAAAAAGAAAATACCTAAGAATAAATCTAAAAAATAATATGTAAATCTTCAAAGGGAGTTCAATTCTCCATCAGTTATTTAAAAAACTTAACTCCAGTCAAAAATCCCAAGGGAGTGTTTTGAAGAGGAAGATAAACTTAATAAGAAGATTCATAACATCTGAGAACACAGGGCCACATAGGTAACACAATATTAAAGAAGCATAAGAATGGGGGTCTTGCCCTACCAGACAGTTAGAAGCCATGGTACACGTAAGGTATAGTATATATTGTGACCATGGAATAGATAAATCAAGAAGCACACTCCTTTTCATTTTGTTTCTCTTCAGCTTGTACTGATACTAGAAAGCAGCAGAGCTAAATATCCCCACTAAATTATAAACTCGGGTGCACAACATTTATGTCTCTCCCAACATGCTGTGGCTGAGCGAGTCCTGGGAGGTGCGTGGCACAGGGCGCACACTCCCTTTCACTGGCTGAAGGAGCTTGTGACATTCCCAGCTTATTATTCCTTAGAAGCAAGGCCCCCAGGCTCCACTGACGCCTACAAACAGGCTGACGCAGGAGCCAGGGCCATGCTGTCGGGCTCCTTCACTGTGACGGGGTCCCCAAGTCTCCGGCATGCACTTTCCCCTAATGCTGTCTGTCATTTATACTGATTTCCCAGATTCTGCTTTGAGTTATGTTACTTTTTGCTAGCATTCTGTGTCTGATTATTTTTTTTAAAGAATCGTGCAATACGTATTTGTCAAATGAATATGTAAAAAAATGAAATATGCACACTGTTTCTAGAAAGAGATTGGAGACAAGCACGTGCATGCTGCTTTGTATTTATATTTAAACACAGAAACACCTAAATGTAAAGTAAAAAGAAAAGCGCAAACCTTTCAACTACTTCTATGTCAAAGCAGAATCGTTTGTCAATTGAATCTGTCTTTCGTCGGATACAAGATTTTAATTTAAACATTTCTGGCGAGCTGGTGACAAGGCCGTTCTGCAACAAGAAGGGGAACACATGTTATCACGATGACCAGGGGAAGCGGAAAACATTCAGTCTTCCGCCTAAAAGCACTGCACTGAAAGGTAAGCTTAGAGCACAGGTTATATACCAAGACCATAACGACACCATGTCCTACAAACAAGACTTTCCGCCGAATGTCAACTGTCCAATTACTAGTATAACATTCCAAATTGTTCATTAATAGGTTCATTGCATATATGTGTTTCATTCAAAGGATTCTGTGACATGGCTGTCTAGTCCACCTCATCATATCTATAACAAAAGCATAATATGCTAATTAGACCGGACAGCTGAATGACCTTCCGGACCTCCTTCCGGATGAAGCCAGGGCTTCGAGGGTTGAGCCCCTTGCACGAATTTGGTGCATTGGGTCTCTGGTTTATTTATAATGTAACTTGCACTCTAATACACATGCCTTTGGAGTTCAATTTAGAAAAGATGTGAAATAACAGTCACAGTAATGTGACTAGATAGATATCCAGAATGTTTGTCAGGATACAACACCATTGCTCTGAAAAAAATTTCCCAGATTGCTAAGAGATTAGTATTGTTTGTGTCTGTGTATTAGATCCTTATAATATTAAATGATAGCTGGCTAAAAACCTCGAGAGAGCTATCAAAATAATAAAGTTCAGGTATACAATTGCTATGATGCTATTGTTATCATACATACCATGTGATTGCTTTGTTGGTAACCAATTGCTACTCTGCTACTAACACTGAAACTCTTTGGATAGAATCCAAAATTGGCTCAATAAATAAGAATTTTCTTCTATACCTGACATGCCAGCCAATTTTAAGGGGAATGCTTACCTACTGTCTGAATAATTCTTTTGTCTATTGAAAATGTCATAGATGTACTAACAGAACTTTGGCGGGGTCTATTTGATATTAGCTCACTGGCTGCCACATAAACTGCCTTTCTGACAATAGCTTTTCTTATGAACCCTTTAAGAAGAAACTAGGCATGATTATAGCATTTAATGCCTTCTCATGATGGTGGCCATCTAAAGTTTCTTTTTCTCTGGCATGTTGTCCTTTATTGTATGTCTCTCCATTTGAATTATTAGACTCTAATAAATGCCCAAGCACAATAAGTTTCAACTGATGTATTTGAGTATGTGTCAAGGATCAACATTTACCTGCCATGATCTGTACCACAAATTAGTTGGGCGAGTCACTTACTTTCTACCATCTTGATTTTCTAATCTGTTAAAATAAGGCCAGACTAAACGATCTTTAAAAAGGTACACTACGTTCCATATTGTTCACTAGCCATGTGAGACATTCAGTGGCCAATTTACTTTTGGGGGGAATGGGCACTGGTCAATTTCTCCTGAGAATCTTTGCTGGGCCAGCAGTTCAGTGAACAGCACACAGGGCAGAAGATGAGAAGGTTCCAGGGGCAAAAGCAGCTTCCCCAGAGGCCACCTGGGAAAAGATGCAGATTTGGGCCTGGTCCAGCCACTGGCAGCCCCTCCTGGGATACAGGCCAAGCAACAGCACAGTAACAAACCACTACCAGGTTGTGAGAGGGCGCCTCAGGGCCCCAGCCTTTAATTCAGCTGCTTATCAGCATGCCATGGCCATGGTAAAGGAAAATCCTGGCCACTCTTTTTAACTCATCAAGGTCACCAAAGTGAGAGAAACCTTTCTGGCTTTTCAATTTTTAAAAACTGTGTACACGTTTATTAGAAAAACAAGGGTTTTTTGTTTACTTCCATTTCTTTCTTGTTTTTAAAACTTCTAATGTGTTTTGTATTCTTTTTTAAAAATTCTTTATTGTTGAAAGTATTACATGTTTCCCCTTTTTCCCCCACTGACCTCTCCCAGCCTGCCCCGGCCACCCCCCAGGCCTTCACCATCCTATTATCTGTATCCATGGATTATGCATATATGTATACAAGTTCATTGGTTGGTCTCTTCCCACCCCACCTACCCACCCTCCCCTGTCTTCCCTCTGAGGTTTGACAGTCTGTTCAATGTTCTATGTTTCTGGGTCTATTTTTGCTCATCAGTTTGTGCTGTCCATTTCTTAAATAATAACCTCAGTTAAAAATAAAAACAAAAACTCACCATTTTCCCACTGGATTTCATTTCTGAAACACTCATTGTAAATGTTTTGCTTCCTTTATCGTACGTACAATAATGTTTAATCCATGTAAAACCAAGTGGTCCTAATGCAAGGAAACAAACGTCACAGACTGTTAATAAATGACTAGCTTTCCCATTTGTACAGTTTTGCTTTTTTAAAAAATATATGTTTATTGATTTCAGAGGGGAAGGGAGAGGGAGAGGGAGAGAGAGAGAAACATCAATGATGAGAAAGAATCAGTAGTTGGCTGCCTCCTGCAGGCCCCACACTGGGGATGGAGCCCACAACCCGGCATGTGCCCTCGACTGGGACTCGAACTGCGACCTCCTGGTTCACAGGTGACGCTCAGCCACTGAGTCACGCCGGCTGGGCTGTTCAGTTTTTGATGCTACAATAAACAATTGAGCATTTCCCCAGACCATGCAAGTTTGGAACTTTTACTGAATGAGCGTGAAAAGGGCAAGTATGGAGAGAGAGTGGTATGGGGTAGTGTCTTGGAATTGAGCCACGTGGCCTAACTTGAAGCTTTGACTATACACTCGAGAGTTCCTTTAGGTCTGAACTTCAGTTGTCTCATGTGTAAAAGTGGTACTTACATCCCATAGAAGTAGGAAGCATGAGGAGTAACAGTCTGAGTTACTATCGCTGGTCTCCCTCTTGCCCTCTGTTCCTGAAACTGCTAAAAATTTAGCAAGGTCATGTCACCCCTCTGTGCGAAACCCTCTAGTTCTAATGAAACCCGTATCATTCCAGAGAAACAGCAAAGATCCCGTGACGTCCCACAAGGCCCCTCCCTAGGGCTCTCACCTCACATCTTACTACCCTTTGCTTCATGCACTCCGTTCCAGCTACACTGGCCCCTTGCTGATCCCTAAACACAGCGAATGCACTTCTACTCAGGGCATCTGAAGCAGCCTGCACGCCTCTTCCTCCAGACATCGGCATGGCCTGCACTGTCGCCTCCTTCAGGACTTTTCCTAAATGTCTCCTTCCTAGTACTGCCTTTCCTGAGACAGCTCACATAGCAGCACCCTCACCTGATATTTCTTGCTTTACTTTCTTCTTAGAAGTTATCACTAAATTCTACTGATGCATCCTACTTAATTGCTTGTCTCTGCCATTTAGACTCTAATTCTCTAGGAGCAGGAAAGCGTGATGTTCTGCTGACTGGTACATTCTTAATCCGCAGAACAGGGCCAGATACATAGCTGTCACTCAATAAATATTTGACAAGTGAAGGAAAAGGAAAGAATCACTCATCTTTCTTTAAGACTTTATTGACCTTAGAGTTATGTCCTCTTACCACTAATCTGAAAAGAAAAAAGTGAATTTAAATAACTTCTTAAAATGAAAATGTTTCATTCACTATTTATGGTATAAGTTTTATATGGATAGTGCTCCCTTTCCCCCCATAAATACTGTGCAACCCCTTCCCACAGCACTCCCCTTACAGTCCTGCTGGTTGGCCAGGGTGGGGGGATGCATTGTGACCAAGGTAGGCGACCTTCAGTTTCCACACAGGGAAGCCAATTATCCTGGATCCAAATGTCACAGCGGCCGAGAGCCTTGAAGACGGAGCTTGTTTTCCAGGCACCTTCTATCCTGCTTAACACCTGGGTCTTTCTAGCAACAATTATGTACAATATTATTGCTGCTGTGGTCTCATAACCATATATTCAGAAGCAAGAAATGTGAATGTGAAAGTGCGTCTCTTGAGGAAAGTGTTTCACGAGCCATTTGAATTTATTTTTTCCGCAATAACAGTGCCCTGGGTGTCGTGTGGCGTTAATGCTTAAACTGCTCCAGATTTTAAAAAGATGGGGTTTGGCGCTACACTTCGTCATCGCAAAAGGTTTTTGCAATTAACGTCAATTCTGTTTGGGGAACGTTTTACACTATAATACTTAACGACGCTTGTAGATAATTCTGTTCCGTGGGGTGTAAAACACTTAAAGGCTTAGAGCTGATTAGCGGGAAGTGGCTGGACAGCAATCCTTACAGTGACTTTACTACTCAGCGATGTAGGGAGCAGTATTAGCCATCGAGTATGGCCACAGCGATGCTCTGATGACATTTTAGACCTCGATTTAGTTTTTCTTTCCTGCCTCCACCATAAGTGCAGCATCTCAAGCATTTGTAATCTTCAGGTCTGCTGCACACACGTGCTGCTTCCTTTAAGGTCTGCCTGGCACTGGGCCCAGGCAGATGTTGTTACACCAGCAATTCTGAAGTCCTTAAAAAACAGTCTTGGAAAATAAAAATTTATTATAGCTCTAAAGTAGCAAAATAAAACAAGGTTAATTATCTTACCCAGTAATCATGTGAGGTTGCCAAGATGATGCTTACAAAATGGGAGGAAATGAACATTTGTGGAATACCTTTTAAGTGCCAAAATTCAACCTAAGAACTTTTTAAGTGATACTTTATAATGCCATTTTACATATAAGGAAACAGAACATTAGAACTGCACATGGTACTACCTCCTTCATCAATAAAGGCATGCGATGGGAGTTGTTCTTTTTAGGGAATACTACCTCTCAAGAGTTATTTTAAGAATTATAAATGAGATAAATATAAATTGCACAGAGCAGTAAGAGCTCCTGGTATGCATAGTGGTAGTATTATGCACCACCGCTGGTAATAGGGACATTTTACATACATTATCTCCAATTCCTGCAACACCCTTACAAGATAAGTATAAATCTCCTTCTTTTACAAATGAGGAGACTGAGCTCAGAAAGCTGTCCGCCCAGCACCTTCCAGTTAACAAGGGGCAGGCTCGGCATTCCAGCGCAGTTCTGTCTGACTCTGGAGCCCAGGCTATCCTCAAGCCTATTAGAATGCAATGTAATGTGTGCCTGGAGGTGGGTAACATAGCAACCGCATCTCCAGACAATGGGGGGCTCTGTGTCCTGACTGCAATGATCTGCCTCTGCCCCACTGGGGCCACCTCCATTTGTCACTCCATTTACAGCTCTGATAGCTCCTATTGATCACTGGCTGCTGACTACTGAGTTTGCTGTATGCCTTCCACTACAGAATAAACGCCCAGAAGCCATTTCTTCATCTCATTTTCTGTTCCCCACAGGACTTATCCTCTGTGATAGCAACAGCCCAATTGATATGTCTTCGTGGACTGGTCGAATTTTTGTATTATAAATGCTTTCAAAGATTCCCAGTGGAAAGAGGCTTTGGATATTTGTCCCTTGTGTAAAAATAATTCCAAAGGCGTATAAATCCATGAATTTTTCTTTTTAAATCCCCAGGTAAGGGGAAGGAGGGAGGATGGTTAATGGGAAAAGGAAAGAGAGAGGGATTATATCGGGGCTGGAGAGCACTTCTGAAGGTTGAGTGTGGTGATGGTATCACAGGTGCATACTTAGGACAAAACCCTTCAAACTGTACATTTTAAGTATGTGCGACTTATTATATGTCAATTGTACCTCACTAAAGCTGTTCAAATAATGCAGGGGATACAGAGAAAATTGAGAGAGAAAGTGTCTTGGGGGCAAGAAGGCAACACAAAAAAGGAGGATGCCAAACAGAGAGGGAGAGTCTGCCTGTTAGAGCCTCGAATGCTACACTCCTTAGGGGCCTTCCCAGGAGGGGCACTAGAGTTATTTCAATATCTGAAAACTAGAGGCCCGGTGCACAAAAATTTGTGCACTCGGGGGGAAGGCGGGGGAGGTCCCTCAGCCTGGCCTGTGCCCTCTCGCAGTCTGGGACCCCTCGGGAGATAACACCCTGCTGGCTTAGGCCTGCTCCCGGGTGGCAGAGGGCAGGCCCAATCCCTAGGTGCAGCCCCTGGTCGGGCTCAGAGCAGGGCCAATTGGGGAGTTGGGGAGCCGCCCCCTGTCATGCACAGAGCAGGGCCCATCAGGGGGGTTGGGGAGCTCCCCCCTGTCACACACAGAGCAGGGCCCATCATGGGGTTGGGGAGCTCCCCCTGTCACGCACAGAGCAGGGCCCATCAGAGGGTTGAGGAGCTCGCCCTTGTCACTCACAGAGTAGGGCCGATAGGGGAGTTGGGGCACCGCCCCCTGTCACAGACAGAGCAGGGCGGATCAGGGGGTTGGGGTGCCGCCACTGTCACACTCAGGGCAGGGCCGATGGGGAGGTTATGGCTCTACCCTGTCACACACAGAGCAGGACCCATGGGGGGCGGGGGGGCGCGCCGCACCCTGTCACACACAGAGCCGCAGGGCGATCAGGGGGTTGGGGAGCTCCCCCGTATCAGGCACAGAGCAGGGCTGATCAGGAGGTTGGGGCGCCTTCCCCTGTCATGAACAGAGCAGGGTGGATAGGGAGGTTGTGGCCCCGCCCCCTGTCACACACAGAGCCGCAGGGCGATCAGGGGGTTTGGGCGCTGCCCCCTGTCATGCTGATCCTGGTGCCGGGAGTCTTCGTGGCTCCGCTGATCCCGGTGCTGGGAGGCAAATTACCCTTTTACTATATAGGCTAGAGGCCTGGTGCATGGGTGGGGCTGGCTGGTTTTCCCTGAAGGGTGTCCTGGATCATGGTGGGGGGCCCCACTTGGGTGCCTGGCCAGCCTGGGTAAGGGGATGATGGCTGTTTGCAGCTGGTCACACACCCTTCAGGGTGGGGGTCCCCACTGGGGTGCCTGGCCAGTCTGGGTGAGGGGCTGAGGGCTGTTTTCAGGCTGGCGGGTGACTGAAGCTCCCAACCGCTCTTTTTTTCTTTTTTTTTTTATTCTGGGCCAGCTTTAGCTCTGGCTCCAGCTCTGAGGCCTCTGCTGCAGAAAGCAGGTATCTGGTTTGTTTGGGTTCTATAATCGAAACAATGTATAACTCCAGCTCTGAGATCCTGGCTCGCTGAAAGCAGGTTTCTGGGGTTTTGTTTAGCTTCTATATTTGTTACAATGTTTCAAACTGCAGGCTCAGAGGCCGGCAAGGCAGGTGGGGAACGCTGGTTTCCTCCGTCACCGAAGCAAGCAAGCCTCATGTTAGTTTCAAGCTGCCTGGCTGCCAGCCGCCATCTTGGCTGGCAGTTAATTTGCATATCGCCCTGATTAGCCAATGGGAAGGGTAGTGGTCGTACGCTAATTACCATGTTTCTCTTTTATTAGATAGGATAGACTTGTCAAAGTAGACAGCTATGAGACAAACTCCCAGAACCCAGTTCCCTTAAGCCAGCAAGCAGCCCTCTACCATCTAGTCTATACAGCAATAAATGTCGGCCACTTCTGTCAGATCAAATCGTTATTTTCTTATACTACCAGTCAACCACTGAGCGTTACCTGAGCATGTCAAATACACATTGGGTTGCATTTTACTGATCATGTTGCTCTGTGTTGAAACGCTTACAGCCGACCTGATATCTCCAACTTCCCCATCCCAAACCCTTTAATATCTTACTAGACAAAACAATTCCATCACTCTCTTGTGTACTGACAGGGAGACTTTATAGCAGTGCCATTTCATGTGGTTGGTGGGTCCCAATAAATGTGAAAAATACAGAAAGCATAAATAAGCATTTCATTTTTTTTTTTTTACAGCAATTTGAAATTGCAAAATGCAAGCATATGCTTTTGTGTTTTACAAAGACATTGGTCCATGATGGATTGGAAAAAAAAATTGTTCCTTCAACATGAAGAGTATGAGAATGGTGCTGTAGGGCATATGTGATTTGAAATAGAGAGTTAATTTAGCCAGACTGGTCCCACTTAGTGACAAGTATCATTCAGAAAGGATCCTTGTTAAACAATTCTGACTGGCTTTTTATTTATTTTTGTGAGATAAACTTTCTTAGTGTGAGGCAATTATCATCATGCTCTATTGGGTCTGATGCTTATTTCCTAACCTCAAGAAGCAAAGGGTGCAGTGTGACATTACACAGTTGCCAGTTTTATTCCTGGAAACTGAGAAAACACAGAAGTCAATGAAATGATGCAGTTGGAAGGGAACACTTATCACAGTCACCAGGATGATTCATTCTGAAAAAGTCTTTGATTTTTAATTTTCCACCAAACTTTAAATTGAGATTAGATATCACAATAAATTCTAAAACTAAATTCATGTTACCCCACCATTAGCAAAAGGTTATAAGTTCCAAGTTCAACAATATAAACTTAGAGATGCCGGTGGTGAGACGTGAAAAAGCTTCCTTTCTGTGGCGGTGATGGTGGCTGAGCTGACTAAATATCATACATTGTAAGGAATTTCCATCTCTACTTAATGGAACACTAACCAAGTCACATCTCGTGGAAACAGAACGTTAACCATAGAGACATTAGGTTGTGTTTTTGTGACTCACGTTTCTCCTGGACGTAAAGGTAGCCTTCCATCGTCCACTGGCTGGGTGGTCTGTAATCTTGGTTGGCAGATTTCATCCTTTGCATCAACCGCTCTACCTCTTGTCGAGTACTTTCAAAATTATTCCTTGTCTTGAGTAAATAAAGATAACAGATTCAGTCTTTCTTTCCTACCTGTTTTGAGGAACTCAGAACCAAAAGTTTCAAAACTGCAAATTATGCAAAGGATAACTTCAATTCTTTAGCACTACTCACCCACCTCCATGACATGCTATGCTGAGTCCTATGGCTGATATTGAATGGCTTTAGTGAAACTTCTGCATGGTTCTCAATCTCAATCTGTGTGTATGTGTGTGTGTGTGTGTGTGTGTGTGTGTGCACATTCGCGCGCATGCATGTTATATGTTTCTTCCCATTTCCCACTCTAATATTATTACTCAGTGGCCAATTATAGCATTTTAAATTATGTAATATTTACTCAAGATAATTTTATAACACTAATGCCTAAGGTTAAAAAGCAGATACACAGGGACTTATATTTTTTTGGAGGGGAATAAAAACAAATTAAATTCACATATTTTTAAATATGTAGCACTTATTGAAAACAAAGTTCATTGCCCTTGTTTCAAATACTTTTGGAGAAACATTGCTTAGCTTGGTTTCCAGAAATCCCAACATAGTTATCATGAGGTCAGTATATAAACTAACTCATAAAAAAGGATAGGTTTGCAAGAAATAGTTTATTCACATTACAGCAAATTTACTTAAGGTAAAACATGTTTTGTAATCAAACCACACTATCTCAACAATACACATTCAGAAACATAAAAATCATCACTGCCTAACTTAAGACTTTGCTATGGCCCGTAATAAAATAACTGAATTTTCTTAATTACCACTTTTGCTACTTTTCTCTTTCCAACATAAGGATCACAATTTTTTTTTTTTCCTATTCCTTACCTGTTGCCAAGTCCCAGGAATCTTAAGTTAATCACACTTAATATGAAGGTAAGTCATAAAAATATTTTAACTATAATAATTGTCTCTTTTAATATTTACTGAAAAAGCCCAAATGCATTCCATATTGAAAAACAATGGAATGAATTGCATATGAAATCAATTCTGCAAGAAAATCTAGGTTAAATAAAAAACTAAAACTCAAAACAAAAGTAGAATAAGTCCAATCCAATTACATATTGCTCTTGGGACCCTCCAACTCAATAGCTCTATTTATTGGACATATTCACAATGGCAAAACTCAGATAAACAGTGAAGGCCAAGTTTTTTACCAAAAATTCAGTGAGAGCTTTCCGATTTATTTTAGCTTCAGAGTACTAGACAGGGTTTTAGAAATAACTTCTCACTTATACAAAACCCTGAACAACTGGAAGGTCATTATTTGTCAGGCTTTGACAATAAGAAAATGTATTAGCTAATTTTTTAATGGGGCGTTCAGCAGCTATGTCATTTTATAACTATGTAATCAGATATCAAAAGGATTGATTAGACACCTTTACAAGAATAAAGCCTGACAGAAATAGATAAGATGTTTGTAAATAATTCTTACTTAAGCTTTAAAACAGCTGCGTTTGAATATTTCAAACCATGTTCAAATTTTATTGTTTGAAAGTAATAAACATCAGATATATTATATGTAACTTCATACATAGATGGGGCATCATAATGACACAATACAACCTTCCTTTCATAAATAAATGCTGCCCTCTCAGAAAATAAAACATACCTAAGTTCACCCAGTTAAGTAATGAGAACACTGGGTATAGGCAAAAGTTTCCAAATGTCCAGGCGTCTACATCTCAGCAGTATTTATTTTATAATAAATATTTCCTTGTATACATTTTCCTAATATTAGATTGGCTCTTTCCTGCTGTACTTTCAACCAATAGCTAGAAATCAAAACATTTTAAAATAAATTTATAATGTGGCTTTTCTAAATCAATGAGGTTTTACTGTATTAGATAAGGTTTGGAAAGACTCCCCGGTTTAGCCTGGTTTGAACCTAGTTGCGCTATGATCATCCAATTCACTAAGGAGGCAGTGAGAACAGGTATAGCCTTACATTCTGCAAGTTGAACTGCAGCTGTTGTTTATATGGTGCAAATTCCTGGGCGAGTTCATATCCCTCGTGGTAAAAAGTAAACAAACCCTGAAGGAATGACAAAAGCTGCAAAAATAAAAAGATAAAAAAGAAAGCATGAAAACGTGTTTTAAAAAACATGGACATCAAACATAATAAACTGGGGAAATGTCATTTCATTCTAAACCCTCAGCTAATAAGTTTTCAATCTCTTTGGCAAAGCCCACACTAAAATTACGGATGTGAAACAGAACCCACGAAAGCCAATTTTTAATTCCTTTTTAGTAGACAGTGATTTAAATTTTTTGGCTTGTCAGGGACAGCTGTCATATTAACTACTTGAATATTCAAATGCATTGACTATCGAGGAGAGACCATTAATGGGGAGAGAATCCAAAGACACGTAGCTCCTGCCCCAGAAGAGCTTCTAACCGGAGCGGGGAGGTAAGACATGCAGATGCGAGGAAAACCAAAGCAGTGAGTTACGGATCAGAGACACCCAACAGGAGTTAGGGTTTGGCCAGATGAAATGAAGGGAAAATTCACAAGGTGGCAGTACTGACCTGGGTATTGAAGAGACATTTTCGCAAGGAGTGGGAAGAAGGCTAACCAGGGAAGAGGGGAGCAAACGCAGGGAGGCAGATACAGATCTTTCATATGAAAATTAAAGAAAAATCCTCTCTAGAAAAGCACAATTCCTATGATCTTAGCCTTCTTATGTGCTTATTTACAATGTTCTTATTCTTGCAGTAAGAGTGGCTCTCCATGCAATTACAGGACACAATTGTTGATAAGTTATAACTGGAAAATAACTCAATTTTTTTTTGTCATTTAATTCACTGCTTCCCCCCCCCACCCCCCCCCACCCCCAGACTTGTCCACCAATTCAATTTCTTCCTCAGCTTCTTCTAACAATAAAATTGAAAATATTTTTGAAGCCCCGGCCAGGTAGCTCAGTTGGTTAGAGCATCATCCCCATATGCCAAGGTTGTAGGTTAGATGCCAGGTCAGGGCACATATAAGAAGCAGCCATACAAGAATACATCAGTAAGTGGAACAACAAATCCATGTTTCTCTCTCTTTCTCCCTCCCTCCCTCCCTCCCTCCCTCCCTCCCTCCCTCCCTCCCTCCCTCCCTCCCTTCCTCCCCTCCTCTTTATCAATAAATAAAATAAATAAATAAAATATTTAATCAATAAATAAAATATTTTTTAAAAATTAAAAATATTTTTGAGAAGTGACTAATGATTTTCTAATTCAAATAGCATAGTATATCTGTAAGCTATTATTTTAAATTGAGGAAAAAACAATTTTACATCAACTGAAAATTAACAAAACTAAATACTCAATAGATTATCCTTTATTAAAGAGTTGATATAATATTTCTCAAATTAACCAGTAACTTAAAAAGAACTGTAGCTTATGAAATGGGACTACAAAATACCTTTAATTAATTGGGGCTTGGATGTGTAGGTTTACAGGTTTTCAGAGACAAAATAAGAAAATACTTTTGAGGTATAAAGAAAACACTGGTGTTCTAAATATCCAAATAATAGGTAATGAAGTTGTTAAAAGGAGTGTAGCTTCATGTTTTATAATTAGTCCAAATTTAAACTGTCTTATGAACTGAATGCAACACAATGAAAACGCTATTCTAATATTATCCTAAGGACAAAGAATTCAATTAAACATAAAAAAGATACTTTAAGAATATCTGCAATAAATTTTCCTAGAGAACACCCAATTCCCCAATATCCATCTAAATAAATAAGTCTTTTGGCATCTTCTAGCAGATTTCAGATGCACTACATAGCAGATAAATATATTTTAATCTTACAATACATGCATAACACCCACGAGGGAATGTACAATCCTTAGAAAAGTACAGAAAAATTACATTCAAAGAATCGCCCACCTTTTCCTTTTGTTTCATATCTACTTTGGAAATAGGTTTGGAGAAAGTATGATAATGGCAGCATGCATGAAATAACTGCCTCTAGATGGTAGCAAAATTAAAAGTTTTTTTTAGGTTTGAATATATACTAGCTCATTTTATCTGAAACAAATTCCATGATGCTAAAGTAAGGGGAACTTTATAAGACAGCCTGAATCTTTAAGAATTGCATTTCCCACATGTCATTTTCTTTGTTCAATCTGCCTGAATGGGTACAGTTGTATGGAAAAGACTTGTGTCTCAGCTTGCCTTAAACAAATCCTGACCTTTAATATAATAAAAATAACAACAACAACAACAACAACTACAGACGACTAGATAGATTAGGTTTTAAGATTAAGAAAGTAACTTTTATCATCAGGAGAAAGTCAAGTAGCACTTTATTATTCCCAAGAATTTTAGAATCAAATTAGATTTTGTCATTCCAGTAACCTGACCAAATGTGGAAATTGATACTGCATTACATAGATAAGTAATCATTTAGAAAAACCCTTTACAACTCAGCAAAAGAATGAATATTCAAAATTTCCCAGTCCATTAATCATCAGGTTTCAAGCCTTAAAGGCTCAGAGTTGCCAGTGATACTGTGAATGGCAGAGAAAAGTGAGAAAAGGGGTTGGGAAGGGAGGAACTCCAAAGCAACTGATGCAGGAATTCCAGATGACTGTTGACCAAACTGAGCAGAATAGGTGGGATGTAAAGGCTCTTATACTGATGTGATTCATTCCTTATCTCCTAAGAAATTAATCACCGAAAAGCCCAACAAATCCACTAATACACACACACACACACACACACACACACACACACACACACATTATATACTAGAACTAATAAGTTCAGCAAAGTTACAGGATACAAAAATCAACTATATTTGTATACACTTGCAATGAATAACCTGAAAATGCAATTTAAAAACAATCCCATTCACAATAGCTTCAAAAAGAATAAAATACTTAGGAATGAATTCTTTACAAAGAAGTACAAAATTCATAATTTGCAAAGTACAAAATGCTGTTGAAAGGTCTTAAAGAGGGTCTATGTAAAAGGAAAATATTTCATGTTCATGGATGGGAAGACAATATTGTTAAGAGGGCAATATTCCCCAAATTGATGTGCAGATGTAATGAAATCCCTGTCAGAAGCCCAGCTGACTTCTTTATAATAATGGATAAGCTGAGTCTAAAATCCATATGGAATAGCAACAAACCTAAATCAGTCAAACTAATGTTGAAAAGATGAAAAAAGTAGTTTATTTTCGAACTTAATGCAATGCAATAGTAATCAACTGTGCGATACTAGTTCAATGACAGTCCTATAAACAATGAAAGAGAATTGGAAGAGAGTCTAGAACAGCCGTGGGCAAACTACGGCCCGCGGGCAGGATCCGGCCCGTATGAAATGAATAAAACTAAAAAAAAAGAAGACCGTACCCTTTTATGTAATGATGTTTACTTTGAATTTATATTAGTTCACACAAACACTCCATCCATGCTTTTGTTCTCGCCCTCCGGTCCAGTTTAAGAACCCATTGTGGCCCTCGAGTCAAAAAGTTTGCCCACCCCTGGTCTAGAAATAAACCCACATATCTCTGGTGAACTTATTTCCAACAAGGGTACCAAGACGATAAAATGAATCAAGAATAGTCTTTTCAATCAGTGATTCTTGGACCACTGGATAGACAAATGTAAAAGAATGAAGTTGAATGCCTACTTCACACCATCAATCAACATGAACTAAAAATGGGCACAATGTATGCATGCTATGTGAATTACATCCCAGTAATACTGTTGTAACATAAAATAAAAATAAACACTTCCCATATGCAAAGCACCGGCATGCTCTAGAAGAAATAAAAATCGTATGTATTCCTCTACATTTGCCCACTGAAACGCCTGAGAAGATTGGGAAAGTAGGGCAAGGCAAGGAGGCATCCATTCTCACAAGTGCCGGGCCTTTTAAGCCTGCAGCCTCCGCTGTTCCTTACTTGGAGGAAACTTAGAGGGAAATATCTTAAAGGATAGCCTCAAAACGACTATGAAGTATTTTAACTCTAACACATATATATTCAGAGGAGTTTACTGAGAAGAAATGAGGGGGTATCAAAACCTAACCAAATAAATGAGGAATGTGAAGAGAAAAGAGGGCCAAGGGTAGAAAGAGGTTGGTCAGCTGTGGCCTGGGCTGACAACGTGTAAAGCAGGATGATGAAAGAAGGACGGAAGAACAAATGAATAGACAGAGATGTAACGGATTCAATTCCATTTAAAAAGCTAAAACTCTGAAGTTGTGGCTATATAACACTGCCTCAGCGGTGAAGAACCATTGGAGCTCCTGAAGGCGGATTTCTACACATTCGAAGGGATGACATTCAGATGAGGATGACATTCAGATGAAGTGGCCGGACAGAACCTTCTGTGGGAAAGGGACAGAAGCACTGAGCGATAAAGTCAGCTTATCTCTTTGGATCAGTAGGAAAGAAGAAGGCAATGCAGGCAACAAGGTAATTAAAGCCCAGCTGAAGCTACGTTCGGACCAAGCCTTCCCATGATGGATTTCTGAAATGAAGTTCAAGGGGATGAGTCAGCCAAACAAATAAAATGTATTTTTCTTACTTTTCCAAAATTCTATTAACTGTCTAACTACTACTGTAAATTGCAGATGTTTTAATAACAGGAACTAGAACTAAATAAAAGGGCTAGCACAGATTTTATTTTAAGGTATATGACCTAAAGAGAGATCTGTTGTTTCATTTTTATACGATGAATGCTCTTAGATTTTCAGCAGGATTGAAATTTAACCTTTAGTCCTACAGAGCTTTTTAAAAACTGACATTGTCTAATTTGCTCACTTTGATTTACCTTTAAATTAAATTTTCTATATGAAAGCTATCCAATCATATTGAAAAAGAACACAAAAAGATTTAACTTTCAAACCTGCAGATGTAGTTCATTGTTTAAAAATATGTAAATGTCCCCTTTTTTCCATGTTTGGGCATTTTCCCCCGAGCTTTTCCTTGAAATAATGACCCTGTATGAATATTTATTTCTGATACTACCTATATGTTCTGCTGAAGTTTTGGGTCTTGATATTAATTGAAACAGTGTAAAATAATCTCAAATGCTCATCATAAAGAAAGTTATTTAATGCATATCACCAGGAGTATTTATATTATCTACTTGTTACCTTACAATCTCTGAGATAAGACACATCCCAGGGGTATTTTGCTTTACTCTAGTCCTTGATAAATAAATCTGGGCTAACTGGAATAGACTGCTAGATTTGTGCAATGTGAACAGTGATGCAACAGGAATTGGATTTCTGCAGAACAAAAACTGCAAAGATATTGAAGTATCCTCATGTGTTTTTATGTCTGTCGCTCCTGGGAGCTTTGTTTTTGAAATTTTAAAAACTCTTTTCCTCCAAATTAATTTGTAAATGCATAACCTAAAGAGCAAATGCCCATGTTTCATTGCTCCCAATCCTATTCTTCTCATTATTGAAATGGAAATTAAGTAAAACCCCACGGAAGAGATTTTGCAGCTAGAAATGAAAACGAGACTAAACTGACAGTACTGTTTGGTTTGGCCAGACATTCTAATAGGAAAAACACAGCAGCCAAGAAAATATTTTGGAAGGAAGACAGATTTAAACATCGATTTTGACTGTGGTGTCACAGGAAAGGCATGCATTACAGAAGGCTTCAGACCGTCCCAGTTTGGGAGACGGTAGAGAGAAGGAAGAAAACTCGTTTCAACAGGTGGACAGTTTCCACTCCTCTTACGTGTATGATGGCAGCAGTTCACAAATTCTTACCATTCCTTCTGTCACCTGTGAGCACACGATTTTACAGCCTTCCCCTTAGAGACCTGATGTCACAGGGCAGAATGGTCTAGCTCCCTGTTCCCAGATAGGATGGGCCATGAACAGAAGCTCTGATGGGAAAATGGGCTCCCTGCATGCCCCCCAGAAGCGGGAGAGAGGGATCCAGATGGAGAGGGATGACTGCAGGCGTAAAGGGGTCATTCCAGGTGAGGAAGAACCGTGCGGCACATGAGCACAGTATGTGAAGGCAATGGGAACGGGAAAGGAAGGAGTATGAAGGAAAACTGTAAGAACGAAGGGGGTACTCCAGCAGTTTACTGTCAAGAAGAGCTAAAATTTGGAAATCCCAAGAGGCCATCCCCCAGGAGGAAGCCTTCTAGCGAGTAGAGGGGCCTTCAAAAGCCTGGTAGGATTGGAGGCAGAACTTAGTCCATGAGAAGGGAGTAGTCATGCTCAGTACTGGTTATCTACCCAGCCTAGGGGCTGCTAGGCTGACCAGCTACCATGAACCTCAGATGAGCTTCAGAAGGCCGTCGGAGAAAAGTTGAATCAGATCCTCAAAGCATCAACTAAACAGGGGTTACCAAGTCATTCCAAGGGGTTTAAGGACTAAGCTGTTCGGCAATCAGAACTTGAGCTTAAGGCTGCTATCTCAAACAAGAGGTAAAAGTTAATTCCCGGGGCCTGCGTGTGGCTTCTAGTTCCCTAAATCCCTTTAGCTGAGGGGCTGGCCCTATAGACTTGTCCAGGGCCCAGTTGACAGCGGGAAGTCGGGTGGCTCCAGCTGACGGAGGGGAGGGAAGCAGGGTGCTGAGCCACACAGGGACTGGACACTGCCCAGCCTCCACTGTCTCGGTTTCCCATCATCTTTAGGGCATCACAGAAGGGTTTCCATCGGGAAATACATTTGGCAAATATATTTTGAAGTGTGTTTTTCCTTCCCTTTTCCTTATCACTTCCTCTAAAATAAGAAGAATGTGTTTTCTGATTACAAATACTTTTTTTTTCCCACAGAATGACTGACATAGGAAGAAAAGTATGGCTTATGTTATACATTTGATTACTTAATATATTTTACTATCACTGTCCTCTCATCTCATGGGAACTAAGCATTATCTATTAACGGAAGGCAATCTTGACTGTAGAACTTACCTTTATTCATCCCAGATGATACCTCCTGAATATGCCCCTTTAGCCAATATCGTAACATATGAGGGTATTACTTGGGAAGAAAATGAAGCAAGCCTATAAAGACCGGCCACCTGTTTATTTCTGTAATGCGGTTTACATTAGGGAATCCATTACTTTTCACACTGACTTAGCCAAATAAATGACTTCATTGGAAAGTCAGACAAGACCCAGCCTTGCAAGGCGGTGGCGGGAACCAGGGAAGAAATGTAGCTTATGCTTTCTCCCTTCACCTAAAGCGTTGGTGCATGGGGCACTTCAGTGGGGAGGTGTATTTGCTTAGGTATATGTCATACACACCCGTCTATTCTTAATTTTTTCAAATCAGTGGGCTATTTTAGAACAGTTTTTAATTTATTAAAACATTGAGCAGAAATTAGAGTCCCCATATAGTCCCTGAGCCCCTATTCAAACAGTTTCCCTGTCATTAACATCTTGCATTAGTGAGGAAAACTTGTTACAAATGACGATCCAGCACTGACACATCATTATTAATAAAATCTATAGTTTACATTATAGGGATTCAGTCTGTGTTGTACATTCTATGGGTTTTCACAAATTTGTAATGACATGTGTCCACCATCACAGTTTCATACAATAGCTTTTCTGCCCTAAAAGTGCCCACCTATTTGCTCCTCCCACATTCCCGTCTCCCTTTTTAATTTTTAAAAATCATAATTTTCAACAGGAAAACACGGCAATATTTTCCCACAGGATATACTGGACTTACTCTTTTAAAGGGAAATTAAAACTTACTGGTTCGACAAATTCAAACTTCTTTTTTTCTTGAACTTCTTGAATTTTAAAGACATATTCTAGCGATGCTTCGTAGAAGTTTTGATGTTCTCGGTCAATTTGTGTATCTGCCTGAAGAGTGCAAAAAGGCAAACCATGACACAGGGAGTCATTATTAATGGTTCTGTGTTAGAGAGGAGCTCAACTCCTGTTCCATTCTGAAATCTTTATTAAAAATTAAGTCCCACCAAAAGTTTTAATATAGCAATTATTACTATGTCCTGGGAATCAGAGACTAGGAAAACACAGCCCTTGTCCGTAAGAACTATAGTATATGGGGTGATGTAGTTGCAACAACAGAGTAAGCATACAACAGGCAGATCATTTTTTAAAATAATGCAGAAGAGGTATATAAAAGTATTTGAAAATCTACAGGATCATAAAAAAAAGAGAGCTTTAAGTTCTGGGAGGAAATGGTAGTGGTTGGAGTTGAATTTTAAGATGAACAACTGGCAGTGAGTAGTCAAAGATTAAAAAAAAAAAAAGCCACTCCCATAAAAAAGTAAAGACCCATGAACGAGTTTGACAGGGTTTGCCAACAGAGTACATAAGTGGAGGGAAGGAAGGAGAAGTAAGATTAGCATCACACTGTCAAAGACCTTGAGCACTGCATAGCAAATTGGGATTTAACTGAGGACAAGTTATCTGAGAATATTAAGCAGCAAGCCACATCATTAGGTAATCCCTTAGAAAGATAAGACTGATAGCAGAGCCAAAAAATTTCCATGGTTCTAACCCAGTGATTCATACTCCATTAATGCCATGCACATTTATTCTTCATGAACACAGTAAGGTTTGATTGATAAAGTGTAAGAAAATGGTTATTGAGATAATTTCATTTTATTTTTTTTATGTCACCTCTCTCCCCTCTTCTATGCCCACTGCCACCCTCATATGCCATTTTTTAAACTGATTTTTATTTAACAGAGAGGCAAGCCCTGGCCTGTGTGAATCGGTCAATTGGAGCATCCTCCCGTGCAATGGAAGGTCATGGGTTTGATTCCCAGTCAGGGGACACACCCAAGTTGGTTCAAACCCTGGTCAGGGAGAGTATGGGAGGCAACCAATGATGTATCTCTCTCACATGGATGTTTCTCTCTCTCTCCTTCTCTCCTCCCTCCCCCTCTCTAAAAAAATCAATTTAAAAAAAAAAGAGAGAGTCATGATTTTACTTTTCACGCCCAGTTACATACTCCCTGCTGCCAGCTGAGATTACTAAAAGCAGATGAAAAAAAAAGGCGGGGCGGGGGGCGCTCTCTGGAATACAAAGTATCTGCCAACAGCTATTTGGGAATAGAATATAACTTTGGAGCTATTTTATAATGACAATTTCACAAAGAGAAGCTTTAAAAAAAGGATAAAATTAGGTTTAGTGGCTTGGACATCATAGCATCTTAAAACTTCACTTGAAATGCCTTTAAAAATAATTATATACACTATGCATTTATTCATATGATTAAAAATAACCCAGTATTATAAGCAGCTCAATAGGAAGTTTTTTAAAGTTGAGCGTTCCAACTTTCTAAACCAATATACAAAAAGAATATATAAATCAGGTAGGAAATGTGAGCCAGAAGCTTCCAAAGATAATTTCTAAACAAGAAAAGATCTACACATCAACACAAAGGCAATCAGCATTCTACACAAATCAGGCATTTTCTTACCACAGCTTACAAGAGCACACTATTTATAGAAGGAAGGGTAAGGAGGTATACTTAGTGGTATGTTAATAAATGTGTAGCAGCTGGCTCTCGCGGGGGGAAGCCGGATTTGCAGTACTGGCTGGTTTCTGTGGTGTAAATATTCCCCAAAGAGCCAGTTCCAACCACAAACCCAACATCAGTGAATGAGGGAGTTAGAAAGAGATGAGAAAGCCGGCTCTCCAAGAGAGAGCTCCAGGACACCACTGTTGGCAGGGCCAGAAGAATATTTTTAGTCTCAGCGACAGCATTCTATTCCACAAGTTACTTCTGAAGGTCTTACTATCTACTTGAAAAGATATCGGCATTGACTGTGTTGACTGGCGCATGGGAACAAACTAGAACGTCGAGCCACCTTTACGATGCATGTGATTATTTCTGGTCAACAAAGCTGTGAAGCAAAGCGCACAGCAGGCGCGGAGGCTGTCCTGGAAGGCCTGCTCGCAGGCTGGCCCTTGGCTGTATCTGGGAATGTTGATTTTGGGAGAGTTCCCACCACCCTAATTGATAAGCGTAGTTCACTATGTCAAAACAATTTGTGCAAGCAATATGGTTTACTTTAAACACCTGCATTTCTTCTGGGACTCTGGAATTTGGGTCCATGACAAGCAGAAGGTGCCTATGTGACCACCTCCCAGTAAAAAACCATGGGTACTCGGTCTATATTGAGTTTCTAAGAGACAACATTTCACATGTTTTCTTCACGACTTATTACTAGTGGAATTAAGTGTGTCCTGTATGTCTCCACTGGGAAAGGACTCGCGGAAGCTCATGCCTGGTTTTACCCCAGACTTCACCCTATGCATCCTTTGCTGAGTTTTCTTCCTATCTTTTCACTGCAATAAACCACAGCCATGAGTCCTAGCAAAGCATGAAATCTGGGGGTGCTACGTCATTTCCTCAGAAACTCATTGGCCTTGCACAAGTCCATCTCATCAAAGCGGTGTGGGGGCACCAAGAAGGATAAAAGAGGAAAGATGACTGTTGCCACCTGCCAATTATAGATATTTCCCATCACCTCCAATCTAGATGAATTCCAAACCTGCTTAAATTCCCATCACCTCGCATCTAGATGCATTTGTTGTACCAAGCCTGCTTTGAAAGGTCATCTAGAATGTACAGTGCTTAGATAATATAACAGCTTAATTTCTCTTCAGTACAAGATTTTTTTGAAAGACATTCTTTACTTGGGATGAATCCCGTTTGTACTTAAGCTCATACGGTGTGTTATTCACTGGCAGACAGTTGCTTATAAACCCACTGGCAGCTGTTGCTTTGTATTCAGTACTGGATAAATAGGATAACCATATAATTTACTGTCCAAACTTTTTAAACTGAAAGGGAGCACCAGTAATAATTATGCCCAAATAACAGGTATAAACTATTGTTTACAAGGCAAAAGGGGACAGTAAAGTCATCCTAGTGAGAAACCAAGTTAATTACATAAGAAAACCATATAGTTCTGCAGAAACCAAAATTACTCCCCACTTACAATAAGCGATCTGATTCAAAATAGAGAAACACACACACACACACACACACACACACACACACGCACGCACACACACACACACTCACACACACACACACACGCACGCACGCACACACACACACACTCACACACACACACACGCACACACACACACACACACGCGCACACACACACACACTCACACACACACACACACACACACACACACACACCCTCATTCCCAGAGGCAAAATGATTTAAGCTGGACTGAAGAATGGAGAGTTTAGAGTAAGTGGAGAAAAAAGGAGAAGAATCTGAGTGAGGGAACAGAGTCCAGAAAAGTTATGTTTTGGTTGATCAGAAAGAATTCCAGGGAGATTAACGTGAGGACAGTAGAGAATATACTGATTCAATGGTGCGGCTGGGTGCCTGTGACTGTAGGGAGACCTCTTATTTAGTAGGGGTGAAGATGTCGGTATACCTCAGTAACAAAGAGAAGCTGAAGGATGTGAGAAACAAGGACGAGGGTGTGAGAAAGGAGGGGAAAAAAGTCAAAAATAATTCTGGTATGAGAAACACCAGCATTACAGAATTAAAGAAATGAGAAGTAGGAACAAATGTGAGAAAATGGTGATATGTGAGATTTCAATGTATTAGTAAGAAGAGGTAAAGTCCCGAGCAGCGGGAAGTTGGTCAGCATGATGAAATCACGCCCTGAGATGCTCATCGGGGTGTTATAAGGACAGTACGGAAATGGAAGAGATGCCGGGGACACAAACTTAAGGATACGAATAGAGGAATAAGGGTAGAAACTAAGGGATTCCCTTTCTTTAGGAGGCAGGGATAAGAGGACTCTACTCAAAGCATACTTAGAGATATGTGAAAAGCCAATTTCTGGGTTTCTCAAAGGGTTTCTTTTCTCCTAATTATAAAAGTATTACAGATACATTATTATAAGTTTATTCATTACTCATTAGTATAACAGAGAACTGTAAAGATTATAAGAATCATTATTCTTTTTCTTTTATTTAACCCTCACCCAAGGGCATGTTTGCAGAGAGGAAGGGAGAGGGAGAGAAACATTGATGTGGGAGAGAAACATTGATTGGTTGCCTTCCACACACTCCCAGACTGGAGATTGAACCCACAACCCAGGTATGTGTACTAACCAGGAATCAGACCAGCAACCTTTTGGTGCATAGGAAGATGCTCAGCCAACTGAGCCACACTACAGCTAGGCACCAATCATTCTTTTGTGCCATTTCAGATATTTCTAAATTTTTGCATTGCAAGAGTAATCTTACATCAACACCACAATTTATTTTTATGGTCATTTTGACCATTTCTCTTGGGCAAATTCCTATCAACAGAAATCATTTCAACTATCTTTTACATTTCAAATTTGTTGAAATATGTCATCAAATTTACCTCAAGAATAATTGAATAATTTTGTTTCTACCAGAGAAGCAAAAGTGTGCTCGTTTTCCCATATCATCACTAACAGTGGATATATTTTAATAAATTAAACTAACATCCTGCTGCTATTATTAATCTGCATTGTATTTTAATATGTAACATTGAAACTGAACCATATTCACTATGGCTTACATTTCTTCTTTAATGAAATAACCACTAATATTTTGAACCCATTTTTTCAACTGAAGACTACCTTTTTTACACTGATTTGCAAAAACATCTTGTGTATGAGTGATGGTAATCCTATGTCAAATGCTATATAAATTCCCTGATACTTTGCCTTTTAATTTGACTTAATGTCTTATGAAACAGACATTATTTTATGCATTCTGATCTTTCCACATTTCCTTTATAATCTCTTCCTCTTATTTTATGCTTAGGAAGACATTAACTGCTCACATATTAAATATTACTACTTGTTGTGTGCTGTAAAGTCTATTATATTGACAAGTCTGTTTCCAACTCTGTTATTCCAATGATCCACCTGGAAGATGGTCTTGGAGCTTTATCAACACAAGCTGATCCTTAGTTCCATCCTGGAAATGGCAGCCACCGATTTCCCTGAGGAGTCAGAGAGAAGGCACAGAGGGGTCTTTCTGAGAGCAACTTAACAAGTCTGGTGCTGACAGAGGACAAGAAACAGATGTCTTTTAATACCATGTTACAAAACTAAATACACGTGTGGCAGCATCTCCCTATGAAAGAACTTGATTCCTGGAAGTGTAGTGCAAACAAAAAACCCACGCCAAATTTTTCCTTGTCTACATTATGTCCTTCGAGAAGCCGCGATGGCACAACTGTGTTGTGTCGTGGGCTGTGCCTCCTGGAAAAGAAGTGTGTGAGTGTGTACATGTGCTCTTAGGTTTATTCTAGTGCAATGTTTAGAGAAATGTGAGCATTTAAGAAATAAGGAACAGGTGGATATAATATTAAACTTGTATGGAAGCACAAAATATCCCAGATAGTCAAAGCAATATTGAGAAAGAACAAAGCTAACGATATCATGCTCCCAGTTTTCAAACTATATTACAATGCCATATTTAAAAAAACAGTATGGTATTGGCATAAAAACAGACAAACAGATGAATGGAACAGAACAGAGCCCAGAAATAAACCCATGCATAAATGTCAATAGATTTATGAAAAAGAAACCAAGAATATACAATGGGGAAAGAACAGTGTCATCAACAAATGGTGCTGGGAAAACTGGATAGCCAGATGCAGAAGAATGAAACTCGATCATTATCTTACACCATTCCAAAAATTAGCTCAAATGGATCAAAGACTTGAACATAAGACCTACAATCATAAATGCTTAGAAGAAAAACGTAGGTGATAAGTTCCTTGACAGAGATCTTGGTGATGATTTTTTGAATCTCAAACCAAAAGCAAAGGCAACAAAAGCAAAAACAAATAAGCAGGACTACATCAAACTAAAAAGCTTTTCACAGCCCTGGCCAGTGTGGCTCAGCTGCACCAAAAGGCGGCTGGTTCAGTTGTGGTCAGGGTATATGCCCTGTGTTGCAGGCTCGATTCCAGGTAGGACGCATGCAGGAGGCAGCTGACAAATGTTCCACTCTCACATCGATGTTTCTTTCTCCCTCTCCCTTCCTCTGTCTCTAAAATTCAATAAAAATATTTTTTACAAAGCCTCTACACAGCAAAGGAAAAGGCAATGTACTAAACAGAAGAAAATATTTGCAAATCATATATGAGATAAGGGGCTAATATCAAAAACATAAAGAACTCATACAACTCAAGAGGAAAAAACAAACAATCCTATTAAAAAAATAGATGATCTGAATAAACATTTTTACCAAAAAAAAAAGACTTACAGATTGACTGACAGAGACATGAAAAGATGCTCAACATCATTAATCATCGGGGAAATGCAAATGCAAATCAAAACCACAATGAGATATTACCTCACACCTGTTAGAATTGCCATAATAAAAAAGACAAGCGGTAACAAATGTTGGTAAAAATCTAAATTGGTGCAGTCACTATGAAAAACATTATGGAGGTTATTAAAAATAAAAAATAAAAAAAAAGAACTACATTATGATTCAGCAATTTCACTTTTGGCATTTATCTGAAGAAAACCAAAACTCTAACTCAAAAAAATGTATGCAGCCCCATGCTCATTGAGGAGTTATTTACAATAGCCAAAATATGGAAACAACCTAAATGTCCATAGATGAATGAATACATAAATAAATAGTGAACACTGGTCAGCCAAAATAAGTAAATAAAATCTTTCTATTTTGACAACCTGGATGGACCTTGAGGGCATAATGCTAAATGAAAAATCAGACAAAAAAAGAGAGTAATACCATATGATCTCTCTTATATGTGGAACCCCAAGAAAATAAGTAAATAAAAGTTCACAGATAAGAGAACAGATTGGTGGTTGCCACAGTCAGGGGGGCAGGGGAATGGGCAGGGATAAAACTTAAGAGGAAGGAAGGAAGGAAGGAAGGAAGGAAGGAAGGAAGGAAGGAAGGAAGGAAGGAAGGAAGGAAGGAAGGAGGAGGGAGGGAGGGAGGGAGGGAGGGAGGGAGGGAGGGAGGAAGGAAGGAGGAGGAAGGAAGGGGGGTAGTAAGGGGGGAAAGAGGAAGGAAGGAGGGGAGGGAGGAAGGAAGTGAGGATGAAATGATGTAGGCTTAATAAGAGCTTTCTAAGTAGAACAAACAATAAGTGCAAAGGTCCTGAGGTATGCCCAGACTTGAATAATTTGGGCAAGATCAAAGGTTAACATAACCAAAGCATGGAGTAAAGAGAAGAGTCAAGAAGGGGGGGGGGGGGGGGGGCGGGGGCGTGGAGAAGAAGTAGTAGTAGTAGTATGGGACATGTCAATGGAATATTAAATTGTAAATATAATACCTCATAAAATTAACTATGCCATTGAAAATTTAAAATACTCATTTTTCTTAATGACAGTTTGTTTTTTTCTCCCATTTCATTTAGCTACAAAACTTTTCCATGGGCACGCAATTGTATGTTCAATTATCCTTCTTTTAATAGCAGGTGCTAGTAACACAATATAGGTTATAATGAACTCATGTTTAAATAGAAGAACTTCCCAATATGAAATATATTGCAATGAAGAAATTCAATTCCCTCAATGAGAACATGAAAGTGTAGAAAAAAGGAACCAGAAGCAAAATCACCCTCCCGTGGCTTTTCGATGCCGGGGAACTCTAATCATGCTCTGACTCGCCAGGCAGCCCCGTGGCTGGATGTGGAGGTAAGAAAAACAGCAGAAAGAACACAGAGCAGAGGACCAGGCTGAATTGGAAAAGCGCTCGTTGGCTCCGCTGGATCGGGATGAGGCGTTCAGAAGCGGTTCTGGACAGTGAACCTCCCAAGTACAGAGAGAGGAGGGAGGAGTGATGGGAGACTCCGCGTGGCGGTCTCCTATGGCTCCCTGTGAAGGTGTGGAGCCCAGGGTGCAACCGCCTGACTCCCATCTTGCAGCTCTGAGACAACCATGGTAGACCCAGGGAAAAGCATGGGTGGAGTGTCAAGAGTTTTTGTTGTTGTTCTTAGGATGAAAATGACAAGAAAGTCCATTAAAAAACACACACATACCTCATCAGAACTGGAACTGCACTATAACTTAGTAAAAAGACTACAAGATTCTACTAATTATAGTTAAAACACTACCAATGAGAAGGACAGATATTTCAGAAAGAAAGAATAATGGGACTGCTTATATGCATACAGGTTAGTAAAATATTTCTGTTGCCTATTCTTTAAGAAAACCGATGTAAAATAATTGAATCCCCCCCCTCCCATGTTGAGGCAACGCCTTAAAAACAGATATTTTCAACTTAACATAAAAGCTATAACATGAATTTGGTAGGTTCTGCCATTAAAATATGCCCAACAGAAGAAAATGAAAAAGTTTTGTTTCATTCTTTCTTACTGTTGAAGAAAACACTATTTTTTCATTTGGAACGGTTAATATTAAATGTCACAAGGCATGAACAATGTTCAGCACAGTGCCTGTTATTAGTAAAGGCTCAGTTGAACTATCTACTTTTTTTAACTAAAGAATAGCAGATTCTGAGACACTGCTACCTTGGGCATTTGGACTTCACATGACGTAATGCGAATGTCCTTTTTTCTATTGGAAAAGCTTACCTCTTGCAAATGAGACTCCTTTTTCTTCGCAGACAAATTTAAATGTTTGTCAAGAATAGAATAGTATTTTTCACTCTCCTTGTCAAACTTCTTCTTCCCATCCTGGGGATAACAATAACGAAACAAAACAAAACATTCAAATTAGAGCGGCAAGAAAACCACAATTTTCACCACTCCCATCAAACATCAAATAAAATAAGGATTAGTGAACTCCAATTACGTGCAAAACTGTATGAAGCAGAGTAGAAAGAAGGACATAAAACAGTCGTTTGAATACGTATTCTCTCAGAGGCGGTCATGGAACTATCTCTTACGGAGGGGCCAGACTGGCTACATTGATTCTCAAATAAAGAAAATGTCTCCTTTAGGCTTTTTAGTGACTCGGATGAGATAATATATAGCCAGTTTAGAGAACCACTGGCACAGAGCCTTTTCCAGAAATCTTTATTTCCCAGCCACAAAAAGATACTTGATATTTCAAACAACTCATTCTTAACAAGGAAGAAAACAGACTTTTAAAAGCATAAAATCATTAAGTCAGACCGCTTAAAGTCAAATCAAAGGGATTAGCAGCATCTGTATCACATACTCAACATAACTAATAACTAACCTTCCCTCACTCCTAAAACTTATGTTTTTGTTTTGAACAGGTAGCTGTAACCAGGATGGCCTTTTGAGGGGAAGGAGGATAACTTTACCTTTCATTCTATCACATGCTTCTACCGAAATGCAAACGTAATAAAATCCTAAAAGGAACAGGACATGCCTGGGCATCCAATCTTCTCCAACCATAAATACGCATGTTTTCTCCATTCATGAACCCCTCTGAAATAAATACTAGGTAACCACACTCAAATTTCATGGGCCAGAGTAGTACTACTCTTTGCTTTTATTTCAGTGTTTCTGGAAGGACAATTTCTGAACCACTTTAATCAGAGTCAGGTATCTTTTAAGCCTATTCAAAATGCAGGTTCCTATTTCTCCCATCCAGAGATTCGTGCACTGTTATTTTTCACCACCTTTACTATACTGTACACCTTAAACTAATATGAGCTTGTGTGTCAACTGTAATTAAAAAATAAAATCTTTAAGAATATTTTTTTTATTGATTTCAGAGAGGAATGTGCCCTGACCTGGAATCGAACTGTGACCTCCTGGTTGATAGGTCGACACTCAACCACTGAGCCACGCCAGCTTGGCGGAAAAATAAACTTTAAAAAATCAATCTCCATAATTATTATGCATAATGTTTTGCTTCATTATTTGCATAAGGATTTGAAAAAGGTAAATTAAAAACAATGGATGTCCCCTACCCACCCCCATTAACCTCTTCTAGCAAAAAAAAAAAAAGGGAGGGGGCATATGTAATACTTTCAATAATAAAGATTTTTAAAAACAAACAAACAAACAATGGATGAATGGATGAATGGATGAATGGATGAATGGATGAATGGACAGATAGGGCAAGGAGGGGAAAAAGGGAAGAATGGAGGGAAAAGCATTGAATGGAAAGAGCACGTAGGCTTCTGCTATAGAAGTTCAAATCCCTTTTAGACCATTTAAGAAGTACTGATAGGTTTGTACTTTACAGCATTATACCTGTAAACAAGGCCGGGCTGGGGGTGAGGGTGAGGGGGGTGGGGGGAGAGTCTAAATCCTCCAAGGATTCTTATTACCTAAAGAGAACATGTGGTCCTACTAAGAGAAACACAATTGAAAATAAATCCAAAAGAGGTCTGTTGAGGAACTCACATACCAAAATGAGCAGAACCGAAAGGAAGCGAGGAAGCCCAAGGCTCAGACAGGAGAAGCGTGTCCTCCCTCTCCACTGAAGGGACAGACACCTGGGTGAGCATAGTATCTTCTGCTCAGTGATGTTACTCTGAAACTGGTGTTTCATGCCCACCATTCGCCTGCCCAATCTACTTCTCCAAAAGTCTCTCTCAATAGCCCCTTTTGAACTCCCATCCTTTTCTTTTTTCTCTCTGGGCCATCTCCCCTTTGACATAAATGCTCATTTCTTCCCATTTCAACATACTCGAGTTATATCTACTTTTAGTATCCAGCTCAAACAGACATCATTGACAAGTCCCCTCCACCAACTCTCTCTTCCTTGTGAATGCTCATATAGCTTTATGCATGGCTTTCTGATGGTGTTCATGTTCTACATTGTAGCACAGACCTTTACATATACCCCATCCTCCTTAAAATTAAATATCTCAGAGAGAGCTCAATAAATACTTAATGAAAAGATGAAAGTCTTCCTCTTATAGCACTGGCCACAATAGTCCCTCATTGATATTCCATTTGCTCAAAAAAAGTCAATATCCCTGTTACAAGGGAATATTCTGCGGAAACGGCGTTAACTCAAACCCAATGGCACATTCTCATTTGGGGGCAACCAGCTGCATCATGGTATAGTACATAAAACTGACTCACTTTCATCTTACAATGTGGGCTTAAAATGTCTCACTGTACATAAAAGAAGACACTGGCTGAAGAAGAGAGCACAGCTGTGGTGGCTACACTTGCATCTTTGTTTTCAGTCAGTGTTCGATGGCATTTCTGGAAATGTTAATTCAGGGCTCACACATCAGAATTCCTGGCAATACAAAAGTTATTCCCAGAAGCACTTCCTGACTCTTATTCAAACCCTGGCCCTTCACACCACTGGGCCAGCAAAAAAGATCTGCTCAACAGTTCCAATGATATAGACAACAAAAACTCACTCAGCTGCAGCATACAATTAAAGAGTTGAGTTTGCAGAGCAGGCCACATGAAGGACAACTATAATCTAAGGAAGCTCTCCCCTAAAAAGTCATGGTTTACTGCTCCTGTAAGCCAAGTCTATTTGGACTTACCCATTTCGCACCATACAGCTACCTCTTGTCTCTGTTTACTCGTTGTGGATATCAAGCTAAGAATTTTCTCTGAAACTAGTGCTACAGAGAGAAGGGAGAAATAACCCATGAATCTTTACTAAATGCTGTGAATAATCACTGACTTCGTATCTTTATTTTATTGATCTTAGAGAGAAGAAGGGAGGAAAGGAAAGGAGGGGGAGTGAGGGGGGGGGAGAGAGAGAGAGAGAGAGAGAGAGAGAGAGAGAGAGAGAGAGAGAGAAAGAGAGAGAGAGAGAGAGAAACATCGATTGGTTGCCTCCCACACATGCCCCCACCAGGGACCAAACCCACAACCTGGGTATGTGCCCTAACCAAAAATCAAAACCAGCAACCTTTTGGTGTATGGATGAAGCTTCAACTAACTGAAACACACCATCAGAGCCTATCACGTCTTCTTATTGTCTTGGAATGATTCATAAAATGCTATATTATAATGGTACATTTTCTGCAAATCAATGGTGACTGCATTTTAACTAGGTAATCATTAAAAATGAAGACATATATAGGCATGTATGTGTGATAAGTATGTATATGATAAAATATTTAAATATAGATCATCATAAAGGACAAATTAGTCCCCAAGCCTAATTAGAATTGGAAAAAGTAAAAGTTCTGGGTCTACATTCTGTTTTCCAAACTACGCTGATTTATTCTGAGCACAGTGATCATACTATTACTGAGCTTTTAAGCTTAGCAACTATGGTGACGTCACACACATTGAAGTAGGAAGGATAGGAAATCATTACAGCACAAATTCCAAGTGCCAATTTTACTCTTAAAGTTATTATATATAATAAAAATTGTCAAATAGTTATAGCTACAAGCATATTACAGATAAAAGTATTAAATTATACACAATTGTTAAAAAGAAAAAAAGACCAAACCAATGCCTTCATTAACCACAAGAGGGTACCAAAGATAAAGAATATCTTCAACCACAACATTTAGAAAATCACAAATAGAAATTCTAAGTGTTATCTAATTGAGCTTTTTTTTCTATAAAAGACTACTGCACAGTTTGTTTAAACAATTGCCTTAGCAACCTTTATTTTAATGTCACCATGATATAAATTTTTAAAATGAAGGAAGTAAAATTTTTTTTTTTCCTGTTTCTTTTAAATAATGGAGCACATATTTAGGATTTATGCTTCAGACTTTTTAAGACAATCCCAATGTTATGATAGCCACACAGGATACTGAAAAATTTCCTATACAAATATGTTATCATGCTAGTGTAATAAGCATTAGCTAAATAAATACTACGTGTATATTTTGAAAAATCCTTCACGAGACTGCACAGTAGTAGCAAAAGTAATATGAAGAGTAATAAATACCAATAGCTACTTTTCTATTTAAAAGAATATGTGGAAGTCTCGTGAACTGGCACTGTGGTGGACACTGAGAGGATATGATACAGCCCTGACTATATCCATCCTGGCTAGCCTGCTTCCGCTCCTGGTGGTGAGATTTACCCGCTGCCTAGAACGGCAGCCCAGGGTGACATCACAATCTCTGAGCCTCTGAAGGGCCAGATGCAAGGATATTCCAACCACATACTGTGTAGGAGTTTCCTGAGGCCCAACTGATTCCTGGTATCCAGAAACCCAAATTGTTGATAATCTTAGTACAGCGTAAACAGCAATATCGCCCTGTGGGTGACTGCACCCAACCACCTCCAGTCTCCCCAACCCATTCCCCCCCACCCCGTCCCTCCTCCTCAATCTGCTCACATATAGACATTCCAAAAGGGCTCCTTCCAGGTGGGCTGCCCCAGCATAATTCACACATCCCTCCCATTCCCAATGACCTCACCACTGCCACACCAGGTGATCATATTCATAAGAAACGAAGGTTTCATATTTGGTAAGGATTTCATAAGGATCTCCTACAGACAACACACAGAAAAACAAAGAGAAATATATGTGTGAAGGATATGAAGCAATAATACACAGGAGAGGAAAGCCAAAAGGGTGGCAAGCATATGAAGGGTTTTTCAAACTCGTAAGTAGTAAGAGAAAAGCAAATTAAAATATTAAGTTATCACATCATATCTACCAGCATTGGCAAGAGTTGGAAAGTTGAATAACACTACATGTAGAGTGGAGATGCAGGAACCCATAGGTACAACAGGTGGGACTGTAGGGGGTACAACTTTTCTAAAAAGAAATGTTACACTACGAAGTAGCAAAAGGTGTGCCC